TATAACCACGCTTGGCATATTATCCTGTAGTACGACTTGGGCGTGCACCATGCAAGTTACTCATCTCTCGTCAAGATGATGGGATATGGGGTGATGGTGAAGGGATATAGAAAACAAATAAAAGAACAGAGAGAAAGGTATTAGTATTGGTTACATTAACCCCCCCCCCCCCCCCCCCCAAACACACACACACAACGAAAAAGAAGCAGAGATGCACAGACAAACAGAAATAACACATTTAATATTTCTCTCCACAAAACATAGTCACTAAAACACTACCGCCATCTGTTGAGTATCATGTGATGGATTAGTACACTGAACAGATGGCGCTAGTGTGCAGACGACAAACGCAAGGGAACCGACCGTGCGCGCCACAGGTGCGAGTGTTATGTCTGTTTGTCTGTGATAGATGGGTTATTAGGAAAGTACAACTACATTATAACTATTAGTGCAATGGATGAACGTTAGTTTCGGGGTCATGTTAGTGTTATAGTTTTGTTAGTATTGACCCTTATTCAGCCCTGTCGGCCCCTCGAACACTAGTCGCAGGCAGTTGTTGTTAGGACATGCGACACTGTCACTGCTACTATGTTAGAGGTATGACCCGTCAAGTTTCGAAGTGCAAAAAAACTGTTAGAACTTTTTTATAAATTAACTTTACACTCAAAGCTAACTATTTACCTTAGCATTACGAAAGCGAATTTAATTACTATTTTATTTTTTGCTAATATTGAAATTATGATAAAACTACAATTTACGGATCCGTGAAATTAACTTGCTTGAACCGTTCAAATCAATAAACTGAAGAAAAACTAAATTTTTAACAAATTGCAAAAAAAATCATAGTGACACTTGACAAATCATCATCAAGCCCCTCATCCTTGGACAGGGAAAAATAGGTTGCTCTGTTTTCAGTACTAAATCCGCCTCATATTCCTTGACGGGTGTGGAAAAATCCTTCACAAAAACATTGGAAAACTTTTTCTGAATTTCCAACATCTTAACATTGGCACTCCCTTCAAGCAGGTTATTAACATTAGATAAATTTGAAAAAAATTGTCTCCATTCAGAAAAAAATACATCCAACCAAGTTCGTCCCATCAAAGGAATGAAATCATTACTGCAGTCTAGCACCAACAACTGCATTTGTGCTTCGATTCCATTAAATTTAACCAATACATTCGCCTCCCCCTCGATTTTTAACTTTGCACCATTTACCACAATCAATTGTTTGCTATATTCCTTCAATGGGGTACTAAAGTTTAAATAAAACTGAGCTTTACTGATTATTGAAACCGATGACCCACAATCGATTTCCATTTTTAATTGTTTCCCTTCTATCATTATTTCCACCAAACAAGGATCACAAATTTTGTTAATAAAGGAGACTAACATGCACTCAACACTACCTGAATCACTTCCATCATCGCTGTCCGAATCCGAGTAAGCCCTCATGCGATTCATTAATTCACTGATGTGTGTATCCAAACTGGGTCCGTGTTGCCACGTGTCCATGTCCACCATGTTGACCGCATCCTTCTTCATATTTTGACGTAGAACTACGTCTTTGTCGACTATACTGGGGTGCAAAACGAAAAATATGTGTGGTGAAATAGTGTTAGGTTTTGAACGCTTGTAACTTTGTCATTTATCGATGAAAAAAATCAAAATACGCCAATCTATAGGATATTACATTACGAATCTGCTGAAATGATTTTTTTTTCAATTTTCAAAAAAAAAAACATTTGAAAAATGTACAAATGATAATTTTAAATCTGTTTTCATGAAATAAACGATTTTCTCTAACCCAGTCGTCACAATCGAGTACCATTTGGTTGTACATCGTTCTGCTTGAACCTGAAAAGATATAAAACAGCGCTGCTATCATGTCTCTGCTCATTACAGCTTCGGACGGCGTGGCACTTGGTCCTGCAGGAGCAAGTCAGCGGATTAAGGCGTGACCACCTATCACAATGAGGAACTTGGAAAAGTTATACATGCAAAACACCCCCTTCCCTCCCCCCGCCTTAAACGACATCCCGAAAAAGACATGGACTTATCACTTTATTCTGGGAAATAAATTATAAGCAAACTACAATTATAAGTAAAAGCAAAAGTTAAATTCCCTTAATATTATACCCGCTTACCATGGAGAAAAAACTTTCAAATTTGAGAAAAATTTTGCATAAAAAAGGCATACATTCTATTCTGTTTGTGAATTACCAACAACTGACTGTAAAACATATCTGGTACCTCTATATATGCAATTAGATTAACATCCGAAGTCCAGCCTTTTTTTTTACATATTCTGCACAAAAGATACGCCCCATTCATTAAAAAAAAAAAAAAAACCACGGGAAATCCTATCAGGTGCGATTGCACATCGTTCTGCTTGAACCTTACAAGATATAAAACAGCGCTGCCCAAGTAACAAATCTAGACCTGCTTCGCTAAATTCAAAATTTATACAGGTTTTATTGCAGCTGCAACCATTACCTACAGCTCTATGACGGTCATATACAATGCAAGTCATGAAGCATTCTTATATCTATCTACAAAACCCCTATAAAGTTAATTAAAAAACCAACTGAGGCTTATGCTATTTTCACTTATGAAAGGTTTTATGATTGCTTTGAAGTATAAAAAAAAATAATATGAATTGCCCTTATAAAACCCACAAATAAATCCTTTTGTTGCTTTATAAGTAAGCGCAATAAAACTAGTTGGCCATGAAACAGTTATTTTAAAACAATTATAAGCATTCAGTTGCAACTTGTCAGAAATGTATATAGGCGGTTTATTTTTACAACATAGAAAAGAATCAAAATTTTCCGGTATTTCCAAGCGGAGCGCAAAGAAAATCAATAAGATTTTAAGCTTGAGCCCGTTTATTTGCTACAGTCAGCCACAAACCTTCGTGAATAACTCCAACCAAGAAATAAAATGCCGCTGCATTTTCTGCGGATGTCACAAGCTGTAAAGAGTGTGCTTCCTCACCATTCCATTGGTCGAAATACATGGAATGGTGAAAGTTCTATGACGAAAAAGTTGAAATCACGCATAACTTTTCATAAAGGTTAATGTACCATTCAAAATTTTTCCAAATGTTTGTAAAACTCATGGGTTGCACCCGTAGAATAGGAATATACATTTGCCCTCAAATAAAAAAATGAATTCAAGCTGAACATTGCATTAGGTCATATACATAACATTGACAGATTCTCTTCGTCGACTTTATCTTTGCATCCCCACGGTCATGTAAAGACATTCCCAAGTATTTTCAGCACATAAAAGAAAAAAGGAGCTTTTATCTAGCATCCAATACGACAAACACATCGAGTAACGGTTCTGTGAATAAGTTATTAACGAAAGAGAAAGTCGACGAAGAGAATCGATCAATGTTACTTAGGACCTAATGCAAAGTTCAGCTTGAATTGCTCTTGTAAAAAGAAAATAGTTCTCGTAATAAAATCATGCATTATGCATTTCTGTTCTGCTTTCATCCTATGCACACTGGGCCAGGAATGCAACATAGCGAAGCAAAATTAATAACTCCGAAATGAAGCATTTCCGCGACTTGGTGTCTTCGGCAAAGTTTCCCATCATAATAAGGACCATCTATTGACATAAACAAATAATTCAAAACTCTTCCGCAAAGATGGTGCCACAATCTAACTTCTTTCTCTGACGTTTTGGAGACTTGATGTCTTGGGCAAAGTTGTTAATCTTGACAAAATGAACAGCTCATTCAAAGACGTAAAATTTCTACAGAATACTGGTTCAAAGTTATATGGAGTTAAAGAAAAAAATGTCGAAAATATGGTTTTCTCTTTCGGTTCTTTTGCTTACAACCATATAATGTTATATATTTCTCTTATGCAAATGCATTAAATAAATAACTTTTGTGAAGAAACATAATGGGTTAAGCTTCAAATTTCAAAGATATTGTTGAAAAAACGAAAAAAAAGACATAATTTTTGAACTTTAATATCTTCCAAAGCGCAAACAATCGCAACCTGACATTTTCAGCAAAAATTAAGCAATACTCGAAAAACAAAATATCAAAATTTGAGAGAGGTATATTTTGGTGTTTTGTAGATTTCTTCATTTTAATGGAACATTATTTTTTTCTATAACTTTTGTAATGCATTGAAATGGCGATTTGAAGACTTGACGACTTTGGTAACATTGTTTATCTTGATAAAATAAACAACTCTTCTTAAGACGTTAAAACTTCACAGCCTACTGTTTTCGAGGTATATGCATTTAAACAATATATTTAAAATTAAAACACTTATTTTCACATTTTTTCTGTTATTTCATATAACTCTTAAACAGTAGGCTGTGAAGTTTTAACGTATTAAAAAGAGTTGTTTATTTTATCAAGATAAACAACTTTGCCAAAGTCGTGAAGTCTTCGAAACACAAGTTCAATGCATTAAAAAAAGTTATAGAAAAAAATCAATGTTCCACTAAAATGAAGAAATCTAAACAATAACACCAAAATATACCTCTCTCAAATTTTGATATTTTGTTTATCGAGTATTGCTTAATTTTTGCTGAAAATGTCAGGTTGCGATTTTTTGCGCTTTGGGAAATATTAAAGTTCAAATTTGTGTTTTTTTTTTCGTTTTTTCAACAATATCTTAGAAATTTGAAGCTTAATCCAGTATGTTTCTTCACAAAAGCTATTTATTTAATGTATTTGCATAAGAGAAAAATATAACATTATATAGTAGTAGGCAAAAAACCCGAAACAGAAAGAAAAAACCATATTTTCGACATTTTTTTCTTTAACTCCATATAACTTGGAACCAGTAGACTGTGGACATTTGTTTGGTCGCTGGTCGCTTGATGCCGGTTGATACGTACAGCAGAAAGTGGTTTGGCGTGAGTGCCTCTTCGTTTGGTGCTTCCAAGGGAACGTAGGTCAGCGGACGGGAGTTAACAATAGCTTCCGCATCCAACATGATCGTCTCCAACACCTCGTCGCTCGGATGTCATGGACTATCCAGAATAGCCTTCATCGCCACCTTCACGGACTTGACCATACGCTCCCATGGTCCTTCCATGTGCGGAGCTGCCCGAACGTTGAAATGGCACTGGGTATTTGCATTGGTGAATGTGGCGGCGCAGTCCTCGATAATGTTCTGGATCCTCTGTTTCGCCTCTGACAACTGACGATTGGCTCCAACAAAGTTTGTGCCATTGTCCGAAAATACCTCCAACGGTGCTCCCCGCCTGGCTACAAATCTCCTGAACGCCATCCCGCAGGCGATCGATAAAAGACTGTGGACCAGCTCTAGGTGGACAGCCCGTATAGTGAGACAGGTGAATAGACAGATCCACCTTTTTACCACGCTGTGACCAACTTTGACTTCGAAGGGCCCCATGTAATCCACGCCGACGAACGTGAACGGCCGAATAAATGGTGTTATGCGTACCCTCGGCAGTGGTCTCATCAGTGGTGGCACAGGAACTGCTTTCTTGACCTTGCAGTGCTGACAACTTCGGCTAACTTTTCGTACGAGCGCCCGAAGGTTGGGTATGTAGAACTCCTGCCGTAGTTCATTACAGACTGTTTCCCCGTTGGTGTGCAGGAACCGTTGGTGAAAAGAATCCTCCAAAAGGAAAGTGATACGATGATCTCTTGGCAGCACAACGGGATGTTTCGCAGCGTATGGAATGTGTGGTGTGCATCCGATTCGATCTCCTACCCGTGCCGCATCCGTTTCGGCCACTACTACTGCTGATTCTCTTGGCCACAGCTCTTTTGTATCTCGTAGGAATGATGGGCCTTGAAACCAACGGTTATCTGGATCAAACGATGGTCCCGAATTCCACCTGGTGGCATCGTCAGCCACGTTGAGCTTTGAGGGTACGTAATGCCATTCATCCACACTCGTGAGCGAAAGAATTTCACCAACCCGAAAAGATACGAACTGATGGTATCGGCGGCTGTCCGATCGAAGCCACGCCAGAACAGTAGCTAAGTCTATCCATAGAAAACGCTTCCGAATGTTGAGAGTGACCGCCGAACAAACGTTTTGCAGCAAACGTGATCCCATCATGGTAGCCTGAAGTTCCAGGAGGGGAATTGAGAACGCTCGAAGTGGTGCGACTTGCTGCTACCAACGAACACCAGCTATCTCCGTTGACCGACAATCGCAACCCAAGTAACAATTTCCAGTTGAAGAAACGCTTTCGTTTTGATTTTGTTCAGCTGCATGTTGAATAATAATTGCACAATGTGTTCACCACAACTTTTATAAAACCCTTGTTTACACTGGTTTGGAGAACCTATACAACTGCAACACAAAGGTGTTGTCTAACGTATTCAGTAAAACGTTTATCCAAAATCAATTTCTTGTTGAAGAAACGCTTCCATTGTGATTTTATTCAACTGCATGCTGAATAATAACTGTACAATTAGTTTATTACAACTTCTGTAAAACTCTTGTTTACACTGGTTTGGAGAACCTGTTCAACTACACCATTATATGTATACGCGGTATAGGAGTAGAAGCAACTTTTATATAACGTTTATAGATACATATTTAAACTCAAGCTTTATTATTTTGGTGAAAGCTCTTATACAACGTTTGTAGACACTTCTTGACAGCTGCTTTGAAATTTAGTAGATAGTAAACCTGAGAGGCGTTAGTTGCACTCTTTTATGACTCCTAAATAATCATTGTACAGCAAGCGGTGAAAAGCGTTTATAGCACTTTTCAATGACTCCTTAACAACCGGATAGAAGCAACTTTTATACAACGTTTATAGATACATATTTAAACTCAAGCTTTATTGTTTTGGTGAAAGCTCTAATACAACGTTTGTAGACACCTCCTAACAGCTGCTTCGAAATGTATTAGAGATTGAACCTGAGAGGCGTTTGTTACACTCTTTTATGACTCCTAAATAATCACTATACAGCAAGCGGTGAAAAGCGTTTACAGCACTTTTTAATGACTCCTTAATAACCGTTGTGTAAGTACTCACAATATTCACAGATTAAAATTAGTTTAACAATTGTCGTGGTGCGCCAAAATAATTGCTTGTACAGTTTTTATTAATTTAATTTATTTGTGCACATTGAAAAAATATGTAATTATGCCATAATTCACATTCTGTGATCATGGAGGAAGTAGTAACAAGCATCTGTTTAATCTTTGATTGATATTCTTTCAATTAATCTCTCTAATCATTAATTGAGATAATTTTATCTAGAAATGTTATCGTTGATTATATGATATATGTCTTAAATTAATGTTTGCATTTATTAATAACACCTATATATAATTTACCTCTACTCCATCAAAGGTTTCTCGAAGCAAGATTCGAACTCATGATCCCGGATTGCCAGCCGCTTCTGTTTCCATCTGCTCTATTCTTGAATACATATTTTGATCATATGAGAGAAGTATATCAAGCTCATCTTGAGTGACTTCTCTTGCAGTCGAATAATCATTGCCTTATGGTTATATAAACATGCCTATCACTTGTGCTATTTTTAGCAACAAAATTGTGGTTGGTCGAACGTAAACAATCATTTAAGAGTGCTCCAAGCAGCTTTTGAAGCTTTTAACCAAATGGCAATACAACTACATTCTTGTACAACTCTGGAAGCTATTATTCAACGTTTGATCAACTCAGGTGTTGTATAAGAGCTCCCAATTGTTTGTTTTGATGCGTTTATTCCACATCCTATATGGCTCCTGTCAAACAGTTTAACCGAACGTAAACAATCATTTAAGAGTGCTCCAAGCAGTTTTTGAAGGTTTTAACCAAATGGCAATACAACTACATTCTTGTTCAACTCTGGAAGCTATTATTCAACGTTTGATCAACTCAGGTGTTTTATAAGAGCTCCCAATTGTTTGTTTTGATGCGTTTATTCCACGTTCTGTATAACTCTTGTGAATCAGTTTAACTAAGGTGCTATAAAAGTTATCGTAGGTCTTATAAAGCATATAGTTAAACCGAACGTAAACAATCATTTAAGAGTGCTCCAAGCAGCTTTTGAAGCTTCTAACCAAAAATGCAATACAACTACATTCTTGTTCAACTCTGGAAGCTATTATTCAACGTTTGATCAACTCAGGTGTTGTAAAAGAGCTCCCAATGCACGGAAACAAATCCGATTTCATTTTCATGAATAAAAAATCATGAAATGAAAAAACTTGCCATCCCATGAAATCGTAGCAATGATTCATGATTTCGGGATGGAAATTCATGATTTCATAATGCAGAGGAATCAAGACAGCTAAAAGCGTTACTATACGTACTTTGCAAACCGTGTTCATAAACCGCACTACATAGGTATCTATTATACGTCTTTTGCCTTCCATCTTATACAAGTACTGATAGTCTAGTGGTCAAAGTATGAGTTTAGTGATCTCAAGGTTCTTGGTTCGAATCCAGTTTCATGCTTTATTTTATTCTTTTTACATTTTTTGATTAAAAGTTAAACCCATGAATTTAGCTCATGATTTCAACTCGGATGATTCATGATTTTGGGAATGTTTGCTGCGTTAAGCAAAAGTTGTTCATGATATCATGAATATTATTCATGGTGTATTTTCATAACATGAAAATACGCTTTGTTCATGAAATCATGAGTCATTTTTCTCATTTCGGAGATCGGATTTTTTGCCGTGTGGTTTGTTTTGATGCGTTTATTCCACATCCTATATGGCTCCTGTCAAACAGTTTAACCGAACGTAAACAATCATTTAAGAGTGCTCCAACAGCTTTTAAAACTTTTAATCAAATGGCAATACAACTACATTCTTGTTCAACTCTGGAAGCTATTATTCAACGTTTGATCAACTCAGGTGTTTTATAAGAGCTCTCAATTGTTTGTTGGGAAGTATACTACGCATGTACATGCTGTGACATTAGCATCCGTGAACACGTGGATTTCTATTTCGTCAACTTCCGTCGGCAAAAGATTCCTGAAAAAGCAACGAGGAACTTCCACTTCATTGATTGTCTCGTATAGTTCGATCCATCTATTCCATAGATCGTGTAGCTGCTCCTCTATGGGCTCGTCCCAGTTGGTACCCGGCCTTTGCAGCAGCATCCCACACCATTCTGATTTTGTTCGGTTTCTTAAAGTTCGTTACCACCCCTAATGGAAGGAACCAGACTCGCTCAGGGTTCGTTTTCTCCAGCTCTTCCGACGACACTTTACAGACGTACTGCTTCTGTTCGTAGCTCTCGATTTGCTCGTTCACTCTTCTGCGCAGCTCTGGATCTTTTGCCAATCGTTTCTCCAAACCTCTCAACCTGCTTACCGCCATTTGAAAGCTATCCGGGAAGTTAACGTTGTTTTTACGCCAGAGAAAACTCGCCTCCATACGAGTTCCTCTCCGTATCGTTGTTGCTTCTAGGATGCTGCGTGCTCGCTTGTCCTCCTCGGATTCGAGCTGCTTCGTCAAAACGGCATCCTCAACAGCTAAGAACTATCGCATTGAATCGTGTAGATTGCTGTTACTCATCTCCTTTGGTTCCGTTGTTCCTCCCATACACGCACCATTCCAATCGTGTTTTGGTTGCTACTGGTTCGCTGCTATTGCCTTCACGATTCTTCAGACTAGTCAGCAACCATACGTGCTCAAGACCGATGATCATGCCCGGTTTGGCGTTGACATAGCTGGCCACGGGAAGCCCTTGCAAATGCGGGAATGTATTTGACAGCTCTGTGTAGTGCAACGTTTGACTTGGAAGTCCAAGCTCGTGTACTGTTCGTACGTTGCTCAGTTGAAAAGTTTCCTTCTTCTCAGCACTGGATATCTTCACGCTCAACCTCTTCGATGTCTTTTCGTGTCTACTGATCTTTCCGGTCCAACTCAGCCACAGACAACTCTGGTTCACCTTCGATACTCAACTGTGCTGCGATTCCTTCTTCTAGCAACGTCGATGACGATCCATCATCCAGGAACACGAAAGTTTTGACTTGCTTCCCATCCCCGTATAGCGTAACTGGCAGATAACGGAACACAGAGAACGATTTCGTGTTGTGATGATTATGGTGTTTGTTGATTGACGGTGTTTGTTCCGACTTACGGGAACAGTAGCTAAATTTCAATCTACCAAGTCCTTACGCGAACCATTTGTCCATATGGACCACGCTGTATTTTATACAGAAACCGCTATGCCAGGTCTGGTAGACGTACCGGAATACCATATCGTTACCCAGTTCCGAACGAAGACGAGAGATTCACACAGGTCACCATCGCCATATAACATCAGAAGGTGGCTATTGCAGATGAAACATCTTTAAACAGATATAATCGTATATTTTTTATTGTTGTGGCTTATTATGATTAATTTCAAATAAATAAATAAATAAATAAATAAATGTACTCAAATCACTCAGACATTTACGTAACAATATTGGTACTTAATATTACTTTTATATAATCATCCACTTATTTCTTTCATTAATGCAGATTATATAACTGCCTCATCATAATCATCGATATCCTCCGATCCTGCATCTATTTCTGCTTCAAGTCCAGGGGGTTTAGTTGGCAATCCTGAATTATCACCAGGCTTGAGTATTTTGACACCTTTGTCTCCCATTCGCAAACAATTAAACTCCCTGCAAGTATGTCACATGATTTTTCGAAACTTAATCAAAATATTCGATTGCTTACCTTGAAAAAAGCTCATATCCTTCGAAGCTTCCATTCATTTCTAGACATACATGCACGTTACGGCCAACAAAATAGAGATCGTAGAATTTGGCACATACTTCAACATAATCGAATCTCGGGGGGTTCACACATACTGGTGGTGGATTTTTTCCCGTCACCTTATTTTTGTACAAAACACGATTGTTGACCAGCATTCTAAAATCGAACGCAAATTCTTCGGGAATGTATGTGAGATTCATGCATCCTCGAAGACTGAACATACCTTTGCGAGAAAAAAATCATAATAATAATCGTTAAATTTACTATTTGTTCAATAGATTTAGTTTGAACCTAAATTCAATTATATTTGTGTACCTGTACAACAGCTGCATTGTCCATTGGTGCATTGACATCCATTAATTAAAATTCCTGTTACGGATGCCAGCGGATTTGGATTGAGTAACTGTTTGGATAGTGGATTATTTTCATCACCCATGTATTTCATTCTCTCATTACTCATACCTGAGGAAGGGAAATATTTAAAAGAATTATTATTATCTTAGTGAGCCTGCACTATTACAGTACAACAAGAGCATAAAAGAAAATGCCAACCAAATAGTTTGTTTCAATTATAGACCTGTAACTTTTTTCGCCGTGGATGAATTTTAGTTAATTTTGTACAGTTTGAAAGATTGATATTTAAAATATAAATTGTTCATTGTACTTTAAGAAATAACAGTTTTAAAAAACGCAGTCAAATTAGAAGTGATTAACTAAAATTGCTCAACCATCATACTGACTAATACCAACCGGTGGACCAGGGTTACTTCCACTCACTTGCCTAAAAAAATGTTTTTTGGAATTATGAAATCATGAAATAGTATAATGCTAATTAGTACTTGTAAGTTACAAGAAGAGGTCATGAAGTATATATTTGACACATAAAATCTGTCAATATTGCTTTCAGTGCGTCACAATCAGCGATTTTACGACTCGTGAGCGCTCACACCGAGAACAAATTATAGCAGACGCAATTATTTTTCCGGTCAAAATAACTATATTGTTCAATTGTTTAATAGATAACCCGAAACTATAGTTGATTTGACTATGTATAGAGGGCAACAACTATAGTCCATAGTTGGCTCCTCGGTTGGCTCAACTATATTTTTCGCCAAACTTCAAAATACAACTATGCTTTAGTTGATTCAAGAAAACTATTGTTAGGGAAGCAAAATTTAACACTGTTTAATAAACGAACTACTCTTCATTATCGACATATTAAGGAAGTTTGTTTTGCTTCTTTATCGATCTCAAAAACACAACTGCAAAATCATAAAAAAAGTGAACAAGAACATTCAACTTAGATTTGAACCGTGTTCATCTGCGTAAGAGCCAGATATCTTATCGCCTGCTCTACGCATCACAAGTTAAAAGTATGTGGATTTATGATGGTCATTTGAAACCAAATTGTATAAATAAATTACATTTGACGGTTGTTATAATCGATCAAAATTATAGTTGAAATGAGTATAAGATGAACAGTTGAATCTATTAGGTAGAAATGATTGAGTTGACGGTCAATTTAATGTTGGAATAACTATAGGTTTCTTTCAAACAACAATATTTTTACATGTGAAAGTAACTATTAGGATTGTTATCTTAACTTAACGAATTGGTTCTCCGTGACTCTGAGTGAACGCTCACGAATCATAAGATCGCTGATTGTGATGCTCTGAAAGCGAAATTGACAGGTTTTATGAGTCAAACACATACATCCTCTTTTTGTTACTTACTAGTACAACATATCATTATAACATCTAATGATTGCATAATTACGAAAAATATTTTTTTATAGCAAGTGAGTGGAAACAACCCTGAGTGGAAACTAACGATTTTAAATTGGTTCACTACTTGACTAGCCTATTGGTACCAAGCAAATCGATTAGCGTACTCCATTCTAGTCAAAATTCTAGTTCTACACTATGTTTGTTTTGATTAGCTACACTGAAACAAAGACCATAGTTAGGAATACTATTTTGCAGAAAACACTTATTTTCAGTATAACTACGCTTAATGCCGTTAAATCTACCATGATTTCAGTATAGTTGACTAAAAATATAATCAAATTTACTACCATTCTGTCAAAACTACTATGCTTACTCAAACGGCATAGTAGTTTTGATAGAAACAATAGTAAAATTAAATGAATTTCGTTTCTGCACAAATCTATTGGTGGGAGTATTTAATTTAAACCATCAATATAGTATTTTTGCCAATGGATTTTGTTTCTGTGTATGAAAGTTTGACAGATAAAATGAGGGGCTCGTGGATTTTCCTATGTTTCGAGGGGTGCATCGATTAGCTTGGGACCGAAGAGAGTACTAGAGCTGAGCCAAAAAGTTGAGCACGTTTCTTCGGGACCTTCTGGTCTTAGAGTTACCTCTATGCTAATATATATAATATATAATAATAATATAATTTATGCAACATGCAAAAAGATTTTGGCATTGCTGCCGAGTGGAATTTTTTCGCAATTTGTCATGGAAAGGGCCCTTGTGATGCTTTGGGAGGAAAATTAAAACGAAACGCTGCGAAAGCGAGTTTGCAAGGCCACCATATAACAACGGCCCAAGAACTTTACTCATGGGCTATTTCTAAGCCAGATTCAAAAATACACTATCAGTTTTTTTCGGAATCCGATTACAATAAAATGGAAAGAAAATTGAAAAACCGTTATATACATGTGAACCAAATTTCGGGGACACAGTCATTCCATAGTTTTAAGCCTCAAAACGAAAAGTATATTATTGTCAAACGGTATTCATTTTCAACGGAAGAAAAATGTGTGAAATTGTAATTAAAGAAAATAAATGCTTCATGTTTTACTTATTTTTCTTCGACCTCGTCATTATTTGTAGCATATAAGTACTTCTCCCAGAATTTTGATACCAAAATTAATAATGTCAAATTGGGGCCTGTTTTAAAGCCACGAAGACTTCAATGGGGGAGGGGAGTCCAGCCACAGGATACACTCGGTAAAAATATTTTAAAATTTTAGTAAAGTATACGAGGGGGGAGGTAGGATCTGCAATGTTTAAAAATTGGTCTACGTGGTTTATGGACAGCCAGGCTGAACTGAATGTTGCACCCAGCTTGTAAGTTACTCATAGATTTCATTAGTCACAGCTGCTGTGACTCGATGGAGACGCATTGTGAACTACCTTGCGTCTTCATCGTTTCCATGCACGTGTGGTGCATATATTGCGGAACAATAATTATTTTAAATTAAATGATCTTTCAATTAAAAATAGTAAAATAAGAAGTTGTTGAAGACCCTCGCAGTGAAAATCAAGAAAAATCATTTGTAACATATTTTTTTCCTACAAAATCAAATATCTCTGAGTGTTTCATAATTTTTATTAAAAATACATTAAAACATCTTTCATTTGAAGGGTCAATCGTAAAAATCGGTCAAGAGGTTCAGAAGTTATAAAGTTTGAAAAAAGACATTTTTGAAAAAAAAATGATTTTTTGAACCACCCTAACACGGAAATGGTCACCCTAATGGCGCAATAAAAAAAATACGAGTCTAATATTTTTGATAAGGAAGAACTATACCAATTTTCATGAAATTCTGAGACCCACTATAACTTTTTTCTATGGAATTGCTGTATATATATACACTCAGGTCTTTTTTTACACGGGGGATACGTACCGTGCAAAAAAAACCTACGGGATTTTGATTTTTCGCATGCTTAAATGTTTTTAAAAAATCGGATTTTGATGCCATTTGTAATTAAAGCATGATATGGTCCATACAGACATATTTTAAAAATTTCTGTATTTACACCAAAAATTGTGATTTTTTTCTAAGTATGCCATTAGATTACCTATAGCTTGAAACGGATAATGTGATTGGAATCAAGTCGATAGGTTGTATCGTTGTCGAGAATCCGGGTCAGTGGATCCGGGTCGTGGATCCGGGTCAGACAGTGTAGCTACCCTGCTTATTCTGAAATATTGAACCTGTTCCCAACCACCCAAGGCAAGATTCGAGCATCCGGCAGGACAGAACCGAAGCATCTCCGCTTCCCAGGTCGTGTGAACACTAGGGTGCTTCATTCTGAAAAAAGTGATGAATTTCTGATGGGCCACCCTCCAGTTCGATTCATAGCCCCAAAATATGAACCTGTGCAAAAATTGGTAAAGATTGATGAAGGTTTAGAGGTCGCGCCAATGATTTGAAATTTGTATGGGAATTACTATGGAAGAATTTAAAAAATCGCTTATATCGCTATAACTTTGCTTCTACTTGTCCAAATGTCGAAAAAATTTAGTATGTTATTGCTATGGCAATAAACAAAAAGCCTACAGTTGCTACGCTCAGTTTTGCAGCGTATCAAGAATTATAAAAATGTGAAAAAATGGCAAAATAGGGTAAATTGACAGATGAATATGTACAAGGCAACAACGCCAATTTCATCGCAACAACAACAGGCTTGTTGATCATTGTCATGACAACCACATATTTTTTTTTTTCAACGTTTGGACAACTACAACCAAAGTTAGAGCAATGTAAACGAAAATCAATAATTTCCCATACTAATTCACCAAAATCTCCATACAAAATCCAAATCATTGGCGCGACCTCTAAACCTTCATCAATCTTTACCATTTTTTGCACAGGTTCATATTTTGGGGCTATGAATCGAACTGGAGGGTGGCCTATCAAAAATTCATCACTTTTTTCAAAATGAAACACCCTAGTGAACACATGGCTACGACTCGTCTCCGGGTCCGCCAGCCAAGATCAAGTGTCCCTCTAGAGGTACGCACGTTAAGTTAAGTTAATTCCATTAACTACTGCTTTAATTACATTAATTAGACTATGTAAAACATTAACTACTTTTTAACTCCATTAATTATAGTTGAAATTTCGTAATTAAAGTACATTAATTTGTACATCATGTGTACAAGCATCAGATTGATTGATTGATTTATCTTTATTAAGGAGGTTTTCAGCCTGAGGCTGGTTCGCCTCCAGAGACAAATTTTACTCATCGCTGAGTTCCTGCACTTTTGGCGATTATGAGTGAACTAAACTCAAATTTGAGTCGTTCTCATTCGCCGTGCATCTATTTCTCCCAGCAGGTGAAAAATGACGTTTCTCTTCGCAAGTAGGCGAAAATTTCGAACTCTGACCTTTAGAAAATTTTAGATGCCGGCGCCGGTGGTGTAGTGGTAAGCGTGACTGCTTTCTAACACCCCAATGGGTCTGGGTTCAATCCCCAGCCGAGGTCGGTGGGATTTTTCTGAGGCATAAAAATCTCTGATCACGTCTTCCTTCGGAAGGGAAGTAAAGCCGTTGGTCCCGGCCCATGTGTGTGTTGAATTGAATGGGTGCGATATCCTACGCAGGTGTGGAAAGCTGCCTTCCTGCACATTCGATTGTCGTCAATGGAATGGCAATCGATGTCCGTCGGTGATTGGCACTAGATTGCGGAACAGAGACCGACGTTAAA